CCTGCCTGTGATACGTCCTCCCCCTTCCAGGAGACATGATTTATGTCTTGGTTTTGCACCAAGACAGTCCAAGGGGGGATTATCGCTTGAGGATTTATTATAATGCACAGAGTCTACTTTCTTGGTCATGTTATCTGTGCTCCTTAGCCATCTCGCCGAGAAGCACAACCTGCACAGAAAGGACCTCAAAGATCGAGTTATGTATGCTCCACTTCAATAATCATGGAATAATAAAGAGAGAACTTCTGATACTATATCGTGGCTGTATTTAAATACATTATTAAGCTTTTCCTTAGGATCAACATGTACTCTGTCACTACCGTTCTGTGCAGACCCCAAACCTAAACTGGAAAACATTCAAAGCAGAGCAAATGAGCGCTACCTTCCTGTGCATGAAAAGGTAGAATAACTGACTCTTTTTGTTTAGAAAAACATGATTGTTGCCAAAATGGCCATTATGCATTTTTTTGGACAAATTTCTCAGGCTCTGACTGGACCGTTTACCTAGTGGGAGGTAAACTAAGCCTCGCAGATGCTGCTGGCTGAATGGACCCTGGAGCTGGAGGAGAGATTTCCAGGAATTTACAAAGACTTTCCCAACATTAAGGTAACAGTGACAGAGCTGGATATGATTCAACAAAACAACGAATCACCTGTCCTTGTGAAACTGAAGCACAAGGACAGTGCCTCCCACCCCGTCCTCTCAAAATCAACTTCTACAATAACTTTAGTATATTTAGAGACGTCATGAGAATTTGTATCTCTATTTTATGAATACTTAGCAAGTTACAGACCGTTCAACTACACCGAGGTGGTTACCCTCTGCTATGTCAGAATATAAATGTCAAATTTTGCATATTTTCATTAAATAAACCAAAGTTACAATGAGAACCACTCCCAGAGTGCAAACCTCTGCCAAAGCAGCTCACTCAGTGGGCAACATTTACTTTTAAGTGAGTCGTATTGTATTTTGTATGCAATCATTTTGGTTTTTTTCTTTTAAAATGTACTTTTAAAAGAAAAAAAATGTACAGCTCATTAAAGACATAATGCATTTGGTGAAATGTAAAAGTGAGATCAAAGGTCAGGTATTTGTTAAATGTTGCCAATACAAACAAAAGCAGCAGACTTTTAAGTGCAGTTTTGAAGATAGAAATTGGACCTTATTTGACCTTGAAATGGTCAGAAATCCAAAGTAATGTGATAGTTAAAATTCCCTTAAACTATTCTCTATATGCTGTCAATAAAAACAATGGAAGTAAGAAACATGTTTTAAATAGCTCTATATAGGATTATTATCACTTTGACCTTTCAGATCACTCTGTTGATGTTAAAAAGTCAGAGGTCAAGTGTGACATGATATCTTAAATCTTTATGTGGTATTTTCTATATGTTGACAGTACATGCCACAGTTGTAATATTTAATGTTTCTAGGTTATAGGGCTTTCCACTAATATACCATTAAGTACACTTTGAAGACCTTGGTGGATGTAACCCAAATTTTAATGGGTGGTTAACATGACAGAAGGACACAAACACAATTGCAGAGGTTAAAAAAACGTCAGCTGGTTCTCAGGGATTCAGGTGGAAGCTTTTTTGAGATTTGATGAATTTCATATTGAATGACTCATATTATTATTGTTATTAAAACTCAGTACTGTGAAATGCTTAGTCAGTTCCCAGTGTTTCCTCCCAGTCTTTCCAGGGCAGGATGATCCAAATCCCTGCCATCAACAGGTTTCTGCAGCCAGGCAGTAAGAGGAAGCCACCGCCGGATGAAAACTATGCAAAGGCTATCATGGAAGTCTCCCAGTCCAAATTACCATCTCAGTAAAATCTGTTCCTTATCATGCAGCATGTTTGTGATCATTTATATCTGCAGGCCTACGTGTCGATAAATGCTGCACTAACAGGATAGATGAGAAGGTATGTGAGCTTTTCTAACAATGTGAACTAAATAAATGTTGATATTAAAGGACTCATTCAGATGCTTGGTGGATCAAAATCTAACAGTCCTTTTCTGTGTTTTGACATCATCCCCAACGCCACTGTCTCAAATGCAGCCCCAAACTGTGAGACCACCTTGTGTTACAGATGGTTCTACACCAGGGGTGGGCAACTTCAGGCCTCGAGTGCCGGTGTCCTGCAGGTTTTAGATGTGTCCTTGATCCAACACAGCTGATTCAAATGGCTAAATGACCTCCCCAACATGTCTTGAAGTTCTCCAGAGGCCTGGTAATGAACTAATCATTCGATTCAGGTGTGTTGAAACAGGGTGAGATCTAAAACCTGTTCCCTACCCCTGTTCTAGACACTCACTGTTGTACCTCTCCTGACTTCTTCTGTACTGCTCCACTGCAGCCCCTACAGTCCTTCCCATGGCAATTCAATAGCCATCAAGTGTCACCTGGTTTCCAGTCTGTGTCAGGATCCAGTTTAAAATTTTATTACTTGTTTTTAAGAGCAACAGAGCTCCGCCCCCTCAGGCAACAAACTTAAATTTTATTTAGAATACTTTCCCCTAAAATGCTATTAATTAATTAATTAATTAATTACTTTTTATTTAACAACACAAGTGTCCTCACATTTCAGTAAAATAAAGACTAAAAGAGGGTTTGACCTTTGACCCTTGGGTGAAGCGATCAGCACTAGATGCAGTGGCAGCTATTGCTAAGACTAATATTCTTTTTTTTATGCATGTTTAAATTGAAATAACTGTATCAAAAAATTATGTGCACTTATATGAACATCTGAAGAAGTGTCGCTGGTTGTTTAACCCTCAGAGGTCCCTAGGGACATTTATGTCCATTAGGGACCAAGGTGGATGGATTTTTTAGGGATCTCCAAGGGTTAAAGACACATTTTGATTGAATTTTGTCTTCTAACACAACACTTTTTAGTTTGTTGCCTCAGAGCAATGTTATGCAGTTAGGCTGCCTTTCTTAGGGCAGCAATGCTAAAGCAGTGCTTCTGAACTCTGATCCTGGTGACTCTGTTTTAGGTTTGTTGAAAGGTTTTTATGGGGATAACTGCAGGGACTTGGGTCACAGGGAGAACCTCTGGGGAAATGATTTGAGAGCACTGAGTGATACATAAGCAGCCAAACCAACTGAACTTGTACCAAATTGCAGGAAATAGGCACAAGAACTTTTTATGGGAGGAAAAAATGTGATTGGACAGTTGGGGGTCATTCCCTCAGTGAGGAAAGTGAACTAGATGAAAGTGAGAATTAGGTTTGAGGAACAGTTAGGAGGTCAAGGGTCAGTTAAAGGACACACATGTTCATGTACAAGTGTGTGGGTAACCAATAGTGTGTGTGTATATGAATGATGATGTGTGCCTGTGTTGGGAGCTGGAAGGGAGCTTTATGAAGGGAGATGGAAGGTACCGGGATGGTAGTCCAAAAGGCAAATGACAGAAATGACACCCAGCTCTGTTTTATAAAGTTCCACACATTTAAATTCATTTGCAATAAAGAGTTATCTTATCTTAAACACACACAAACATGCAATATCACATAAAGACCAGCCCAAGCATGGATGAGTGCACACACAAATACACTCAGTTATTTGTTTGTTGGATTAAATGCTTTTATGAAAATTGAATAGATAGATAAAGTAAAAGTGCCACAGGTGCATAGTGAGGCCCTCATACTGTATATTTAACATATACAACAGTGATTAAAAAAACAAATAACATTTTAAATAAGTAGAAATTATTAATAAAATTCAACTTTTAAGAAAAAAAGATCATAAAAAGTTTGTTTTTTCAACAAAAACTAAAAAAGGAAGGCAGACTGCCACGTGCAGCGCCGCATTTGGATGTGTCTGAAGCTTGGAGCTTGACTTCCCTACGTTTCTCCTACAAATGGGCCTTGAGCTTGTTTGGAGGTTCTAGCAGGGGAGCGCAGCTACTGGTATACCGATGGATGGTCGTCCGCCGGGGGGGGACATCGTCCGCTGCCACCGAGCGCTGGGCGTCGGGAGGGACACACATGGACCGGTGAGGGAGGAAGGGGACACCCGCCTAGCCAGCCAGATCAGCCGAATCAACCCTAGCGATCAATGGGGTGACAGATGTCGCAGCCAGATCGCCCTCACATCCAGAAACGCTCGGTCGCTTAGCATATTTTATAGCCCTGCATAACAAACCTTTTCACAATGAGGGTTTAAAGACTCACAGTCCTGGTCGGGATCCGTACAGTTTGTCTGGTTCATCTTATAAATAGAAGCTGCATCGGTAAAATTCTTTTAAACAGTAAAACAGAAAACTGTATCTGTTTTACCCATAATGGTTAGCGACAAAATGCAAATAAGCATGCTTGCATTGGCTGAAGCTGCCCAATCAGCGCCTTCACGCGTTTTCCCCGCCTACTCCACCCCTTCAACAACCATGAGTGCTGTGAATGTTACGTAAGATTAACTTTTACTTCCACTCTTTTGCATTTCTGCGTAGAGGTTGAGTGCGCACAGGTATGAAAACTGCACAGGCAGGGGAACAGCTTCCACATTTATGCAGCTGCTTGCGAATTTACTGTGATTTCACTTTGCTTCACAGATTTTAGGCCCTGAAAAACAAAAAGAAAACACAGACAACTGCCATGTCCGAAAAACCTGTGGTGTACTATTTTAATGGGAGAGGGAAGATGGAGTCAATCCGCTGGCTTTTAACTGTTGCAGAAGTCGAGGTAAGTGAAGGAGGTGTGAGTTTTTGAAGAACTGCAGGCTTTTGTGCAAATCTGATTTGAAATACTTTCTTTGCAGTTCGATGAAGTGCTTCTGACAACTCGGGAGCAGTATGAAAAACTCCTTGATGGTGAGATGGGTGCATGCAGGGAATGCAAGAGATAGGATTATTCTGGGTAAACATTAAACTAAAGGTTCAAACAAGGAAGGTTAAAAGTTTTTTTTTTGTTTTTTTTAAATCTGTTAAGTCGTTTAAAATTGAACTCATGACTGTGGGTGGAGTTTTTGTGGTTTGCCTCCAAGTCACGCTTTAACTCCCCCTCCCATCCACCCCATGGTCTTAGAGCCACGTTATGTAATCTAGATTGAGACAGCAGCTTGTATGCAAACGTCTCTTAATATCTTCTCATCTGCAGTCAAAGATGCACGTTAAAACAAATTGTGTTGGTCTTTTCCACTGGGAGTGCAAACCTGCTTTACCTGCTGCTGTTGTGCTTGCTCCAAAGATGGGGCGCTCATGTTTCAACAGGTCCCTTTGGTGGAAATGGATGGCATGAAGCTCATTCAGACAAAAGCAATCCTGAATTACATCGCAGAGAAGTACAATCTGCATGCAAAGGATCCCAAAGAACGAGTCATGTATGGTCCTTAAAAAAAAGTGTAATAAAGTGTTTGTCTTACATCATAGCTGTATTTAAATAGGTTATTATGCTTTCCTTCAGGATCAACATGTATTCCGAGGGATTGACAGACCTCATGGAAATGATTATGATCCTCCCCTTCACCCCAGATCCCAAACCCAAATTGGACAACATTCAAAGCAAAGCAAAGGAGCGCTACCTTCCTGTGTATGAAAAGGTAAAATAACTGATCGTTTGGTTTAAAAACCTGAGTTTCTGCTGATCATTGCTAAAATAGGTGTCATAAAATAGGCTCTGACTGGACCCGTGTACCTGGTGGGAGGTAAACTAAGCCTTGCTGATGTGCTGCTTCTTGAATGCACCCTGATGCTGGAGGAGAAATTTCCAGACATTTTGAAAGACTTCCCCAATATCAAGGTAAACGTGTTTCAACAAAAATATAAATCAACAACAAGTTCAATGAGAAAGCCAAAGCCCACTGCTGTGAAACGCTCATCTTTCTGTTATTCCTTCCAGTCCTTTCAGGGCAGGATGACACAAATCCCCGCCATCAGCAGGTTTCTGCAGCCGGGCAGCAAGAGGAAGCCGCCGCCAGATGAAAAATACTTGAAGAATGTTGTGGAAGTCTTAAACCTCAAGTTGCCACTTTAAGAAAAACGCTACAAAAGATCTGTTACATTCCTCATTAGGCAGCGTGATTATGATCAGTTACATCTAAAATCTTAATTAGTTTAAAGGACAAACAACACAATAAGAGTTAAGAGGCAGATAATCATTTACCAGCCTCTTAACTCTTATTGTTAAGAGGCAAGTAAATACGTGAAGATAGACGAGGCACCAACACAACAACATGGAAAGAACTTCTGTAATCGTCTTTAGCAATAAATACATTTGACAAAAACACTCGAAGCTGCTGTTTTTCTTCTAGATAAAACACAACAGTTTTTAATGAATTAAACTTGTTTTAATTTGCTGTTATTAGAAAAAAATCACAAAAACTCTTTCCCCATCATAGACGGACAAGAATACAAATGAAAATGCTTCAACTTGTTCTTTTTCTCAAGTTCTAGAAATAAATCCGAGCCCTAACAGCACCCAGAGCTCACAGTCGTCTCCTGTAGTGTGGGTTAAGAAATCATGGAAGTTCCCATTCATACACTTGCTCATATGCATGTATTAAAAAATAATACTGCAGTAAAATTTGATTTAGTCGGCTTAGTGGGAATGTTTCCTGTTTCCAGGGTAAAGGTTGATGTTCTCCCGGTCAGACGATCAGAAGAAGTAAGAGGCGAAACACCATCAACAAGCTGTAAGACAGACAAAAGCAACTGCATCAGCGAGTTTAACAAATAAATGTCCCAATCCCTGATTTGTGCAACAATTTGTACTGTCTGGTAGCACGTCTGACTCTGACCTTAGCCCTGTCATTATTCCAGCTGGCATTAATTTCCCAGAGTTCTTGTATCTCATTCCCATGATGACTGCGAGAACTCCCGAGGACACTGAAAGAAAGAAAACACCCTGTTATGACACTAGCTGGACACTGAACCTCTACACTCTTGATTGTAGCCGGGCTGCATATAGAGAGCCATACTCACGCAGTGACACCTTGATGTCCTTTGGGTCACTCGTTATGTTGTAGGCACCGAAAGCGGATAATCCGCCAAAAACTAGACCAGCCATCAGGGACATCACGCTGCCTGCGGGGAAACGCAAAAATCAATCAGGTTTGATTTCATTTCCAACACTTTAATATTTAGTTGAGCTTTATGCACAGCTGTGGTCAGAATCTGAATCAGAAATACTTTATTAATCCCGAAGGAAATTATGCTCATCAACCTTTTCTCTTGTATCCCATAAATCCTCCAAAAGCAATGGCTGCAGCATAACTGAAGCCAATCCAGTCCAACGCCATCGTAAAGCTGAAAACAAAAAAGCAGTGCAGGGTGTCAGGTGGTTAAAAGACACAACTCAGAACACTTATTCAGCTTTAATCTTTACCAAGCACGCGCTCCCCAAAAGAGGTGGGTGGATAAATTTAATTATCGACAGTATCGATATCGGATCGATACTAACATGACAGGATCGATACTTTCTTTCTATCCTCTAAGTTCAGTGTATAGCCACTGATATGTGTTATTATTTTTTGTTTTTTTGATTTGTAAATTGATGATGATTCACCTCATTAGTCATGACATAAGTTAAAAATATCGGTATTGCTATCTACTGCACCCACTTGGTTTTGGATAAATACGCAATTTTGCAGGCACAGCACTGCTCACCAATGCAGATACTGCACTGCTCCCAAACTATTCTTCATAATTCTTGGGTTTCGACATATGTGTAATCTAATCATATCTACCCACAATAAGATCTCCGGATGTTGCTGTGAGCCTCTGGGATGATTCAACTACAGAAACAACCGCAGCACAAAGCTACAGACGTGCACATGAACGCCTATGCTGGCTACTTTCTTTATACTGTTGTTAAAACGACTACGTATTGGTGAAGCTCACATGAATTGTTACTGTTGTATGAATCGTGTTGCTGCATATTACATACCCGGAGTCCAGACAAGTGAGCAGCAGCAGCAGCAGCCACAACCTTTGGTCCGAAATTGCGCTTCCTCGTTGACTGGCCGTGGAGATACGTAGAAATGCGTAAATCCCGCGTCATCAGGGGTTGTGAAGCGCGTCTCTCCCGCCGCCATCTTTCTCAGGGGTTGTGGCCACAGTTATATATCGTATTTCTATGCACAGCTCCCGAATGTTATTGTGTTTATTTATTTTAACGTTATTTATTCATAACGTTTCACACGTTACCCAAGATGTTTTCTGTACCAATACGAAGCCAGATTCTAATTTCGGTTAATTTTTAGGTCCAGGTAATTTTTATTGGTGAAAGAGAAAAAATGATTTGTTAAAAATGTTGTTGCTCAGGTAGAAAACTCGTGGACGGAAAGTAGAAGCGGATCATCTCCCTCTAACCCTAGCATCCACCTCTGTCACACCAACCATCTTCCATCAACCCTCTCTGTGGTCCTCTTCTTTTCCTCCTGACTGGCCTGACTCCTGACTTCATCCTTCCACCATCCTTTCTCCGGTAAATCTTCTATCCCTCCACTGCAAATCTAATCCTGCCCATTCTGGTCACTCCAGGATAATAATAATAAAAAAAAAACGTCCCCTATCTCTTCCTGTCTGCTTGTTAATAAGAAGACTTTGAAAGTACAAAAACATGACTATACACATGTTTGTCTGTTTTCCATTTTATTCATTTACTTATTTTTAGATTCTTTGGTAAAGACAAATTTTAAAGGGGGAACTTGTCAGTATTTACCTTTCCTGTTCATCTTTGAAGACTTAGTGTCAAATTAAATTTTTACATAAACATTAACAATTTGATATATAAGCGCACTCAACCCTATCATTTAAAATAAATACCTTATTACCTTAATTATCCTGAACAACTTACTTATGCCCAGCTGTCCATACAGGTTCAACCTACAGGCAGAGCAAATGAAACCGCTGGAAAGTTAAAAATCCCGACTTCAGGAGGTGCGGCTCTCCCGGACCAACATGGCTGCTGTCTTGAGTACTTCCAAACAAAAACCAGAAGCGACCCCTAGCGGTAACCTCGAGCTAATATTTTGACAACTTTCCCTATCTCTGACCCATTTCTGAGTTTCTACTATGGCTTTTCACACTTCTAAAAGTAGCCCTTCAGGACTCTATTTCTTAAAACTGGAGACACAAAGCATATTACAAATGGTAAGTGGACTGGTGCTTGTATAGTGCTTTTTTTCTTTTTCTTTGTTAACTTTACTTGAGCACTCAATGTGCTTTATACAACATGCCTCATTCACCTATTCACACACATTCATACAAAAGATTTTTTTCTACACCTCAGTCTTTTAATCTAACATTTAAGCACAAAAAAGAAACATAAAATTCAAGATCTGCAATATGATATAAAATATATCTCCCAAAGAAGAGCCCCACATGTGTCTCCTTCACTGCATTGAGCTACAGAGTCAGGTGTGCTTAATTTGAGGTCTTTCTGTAAATTATTCCATGCTGCTCTCCTCAGATCTGTCAGAACTCCATGCACATCAAAAAGCAAAAGATGGTCTCTCCCCACTTTAGCCCAGAAGATGCAGCGTTCATTTTCTCCAAAAATGGTTTCACATTTTGTTTCATCATATTTCCACTTTGAATGGGTTCATTTTGAATGAGCTTTGGCACAGAGTTGTGTTCATTGATAATGGTTTCTGACAGTGCTCTTGAGCCCATGCAGTGATTTCCACGACAGATTCGTTCTAGGTTTTTATACAGTGCCACCATTGGGCCTTGTACCTTGTCCCCTGTGCAGAGATTTCTCTAGATTCCCAGAATCTTTATATGATATTATGTAATATAGATGATGAGATATTCGAACCAGGTCTTCCCAATTTATGTTAAAAAAAATAGATATTCAAAGCATTTCTTTGTTTTTCTTGCTGAATGGTGAAACTCTATAAGGGGCCCTTTTTATACCTTTCATGTTTATGATCTGTTGCCAATTAACATAATTGTTTCTTTGTAGTATCACTTTTCCAAACTTTTTGTTCCCCCATGCAAAATTCTTTGAGACGTGTGGCTGACATCAAATCAAAATTGAACTTTTTGGAACTGGGGTTGTATTTATACTGATTTAATGTGAAATTTACTGAATGCAATGTCTCTAATAAAAACACAAAAACAGAAAATTCTAAAGTTTGTCTTTCAGTGCAAAATTCGATTAGATCTGCAGTGTATGTAAATATGTTGCGAGGGCGGGTAGGAAGGGCACGAGGTGAGCAAGGATACAGTCAAAGCTTTTACGGCATTTTAAAGTAAAATCAAACAACTTCTTCTTAAGTACAAATCTTGATAATATTAATAATCTTTATTTGTACACACAACATTTAAAAACAGACTTAAAGTACAAAAAGCAGACTTTTCAGAAAGTAAATTCAAACATCAGCCCAAAGAAAACAGATTCAGTTAATGTGATGAAACAGAAATAAAGATTCAAGGTTATGACAAATAAACAACACTAATAAAATCACAAAAGCTGGAAGGCCCCAGCTGAGTATCTAAATTTGCAAAATGGCCCATGAGGAGTCAACATGCTCTGACATGCAGCCAGACCCTGACGCGCTCAGGAAGCATACAGGGAGCCAATAGTGAGAGCTGGATGGAAGCAGAGTTGCAGTCTTACACGCCTCTCTGCAGCTTCTCTCCTCCTGCTACCCCCCACCAAAAACCCATCTCCATAGAGACTGTGTCAGCT